GGCCTATGTGTCTTTTTGCCCATGAAGCCTCTCACACCATCAGATGCATGCAGCTCGGCATGTTAGACTCAGGATTGAGTTTGTATAGGATTTTTTTAACTCATGGACTAAAGATGCACAAGTTAAAAATGTCCCAAAGTGAAGGAAACTACTGCTAACGCTCCTCATTAGAACGGGAAAAGAGAAGTAGAAAAGCTGGAGCTTTCTTGGTGGACAGAAGACTTTTCAATAAATCCCTACAATTCAAATCCTCTCCCTCCCCTCCCTCCCTCTCAAGTGGTAGCAGCATGAGGGAGAGAACAAAGTAAAAGCAGGTGATCTCATTGTGGTCTTGGTTGAATCTAAGCTGTGCCCTTCAATTCAAGCCCTGGATCAACTGTGAGCACTTCCTCTCCCAAATACCTCAATGCAATCTCTTCCCAGAAAGCTTCCCTTGGCATCGTCAATGGGAACCAATCACAGCACTTCCCATTGAGACCTGACAGGCCTGTGCTCCCTTTAGCTGCACCAATCAGAAGCCTCCATTCATTTCTGAGAGCTTCCTACCCCTCAGTTTTCAGGCCGGGTCCTCTGTGTTCTTTGCTTTTAGGAAAGGATTGCTGAAGGCTGCATCTCCCAGTGCAGGTCCTGCATCCCAGGTGTGGTGATGAGCATCTACACTCTCCTAGGAAACCAGAGAGCAGTTCATGGGAAGCTTGGGTGGTGAGTCATGAACCTCTTACACTGTGGAGTGAGGATTGTCTTTAACAAGAGGAGAGGGATACTTGAATATTTACCTCCAAGGAATTAAGCCAAAGGGCTTGACAAACATTGATTTGTGGATCTTTCTGGTCTATGCCAGCAGTGTTGGCAAGTATTATCCAACCCTATGTAGTGGGAGGGGAAACTGAGGCAGCCACCCAGAAAATAAAGTGAATTTTCCATATGACTGTTACATTCTTGGCACCACGCAATTGTTTGTAATCATCATAGTGAAAACGTATGTGGGGGTAGCAGATGCTTATGGAAACAGTCATTGCGTGGGTGTCTTGATGCAATTGCAATGCTATTGGAATGATGTTTGGAAATATTAGGACTTTAAAACATCTTTTAATTATGTACTTAGCCAAAAGAAGCAATGACCTTTTGGTTTGTTTATATTTTTCGTTGTGGCTGTTGCTGCTACAGTACTATTAATGCTCATGAAATCATAGACTCTTAGAAATGGGGGAAAAGTCACTTATGACTCATACATTTGCAGTCATTTGCAATGCCTTAAGACTTTTAAAGTGATGTTTTCCCTTCTTGTCCTTTTAGAAAATTTTAACTTCATACTAAATTTTACAATGCGTTCTATCCTTTCAAGATACTGTTTAACTTTTATTCTATTATTTGAAAATCTGATTAAACATTGCCTTCTCTCTGTAGGTCATTGATTAAAATGTTGAGTAGAATAAGCCAAGTGGAGAACTATGAGCAAATGAATCAATACCGTTAACATCAAGCTGTTGTTCAGTCAAGCACCAGCTCTTCTGTGGTATCAGACTTTTACCTTCTCCATTCCCTTCACAGAGGGAGTACAGACACTGTCAAGTGCCTTGTGAAATCCCCGCATACTGTATCACTGACACTGATTAGTGTCTCAGTACAGAAATCTTTTCTCAAAAAGAAAAGGGGGTTGGTTTTCTTGAGTACCCAGACTCCTCTTAGGGACCAGTGCTCTAGGCCCTCTCATCAATAATTGATTCCAGAATAGATCCAGAAAGTTGCCTGAGAACAGAGTTGACCTCATCTGAGTCCATCTTTTTGAAAATTGGGATCAGTGGTTGCCTGTCTTCAGTATTCTAGCACGGCTCTGGTTTTCTGCGATGTCTCAAAAAGATGACTGATCATGGCTTCACGATCTCATCTACAAATTATTTCAAGGTCATAGGACATGATGCACCACGATCGATCTGACCACGTGAACAAATCTAAAAAGGCTACATGTTCTCTTAGAAATCTCCCAGTATCTTGGCCTTCAGGTCTTTCTGGTGCTTTTAGTTTACCGAGCACACCTTTAGTGAGAAATATGAAAGCAAAAATTAGGATAAGATGGTTCTGCCTTCTCTCTGGCCTTTGTTAGTATTACTCTACAGCCACTGAGCAGTATATTTGTTCTCTTTCTGATACATCTTATGGTTATAGTATTTTCCACAAAATACATCTCTCTCCGGTGCTTTAGCCAACTTGACACTGCTCCGTGCGCCACGTCTGCCTTCAACAGTTTGTTGCATTGCTTCCATCATTTGTTGATATCCTTTATCTTTGCTGATCAGAGAGCAATCTACTTACAGCCCCCCAACTCCATATTTCTTCTGTATTTATATTTACATTCTCCAAATTTCATTTCTGTGTACCTTTTTACAGTTTCTGGGAAGTGGGAGAGGGTCAATTATTGCTCTGTGCTTTCTGAAATTGGCTGTTCATAAGACTAAAGCCCTAAATAAATAAAAAACATCCGGCATTTTCCTCCTTTTCTTGTTATAAATTTAAAGTTTTTCTCCCCAAACATTCTATGACTTCCATATCGCAGACTTTGCGGGTAGCTTGACAGCCATTCCCCTCATTT